AAAAAGTGTCTATTCTACACTTTCACCTAATTTCCCGGTAAACTTCCTCCATACTTTTAAGAAACTCAAAACTTTTCTCAGTCTGGACCAGATGTTGGCCAAGTATCCAATATGTACTTAGATAAAGTGAATTTTAGGGGCTATGCAGAAGTGGTGCAGGATGCAGACTTTACTCTCAAAGAACATATAGTACAGTTGGGGAGCAAGAATAATGCATTAATTTAATAATAAGAATTTGAAGGAAGAAGTTCATGATTTAGTAAACCAGCCCTGAGTTTAAAAATTTACCTGCTTAAAAAATCTGATAATAATAGGAAGTGCCTGTATCAAGATCTGAACACAAAGAACAGTAAAGACCTGGATTATAAACAAGAATCAAATGGTGGTGGGTACAGCTAAGTGGTAGAGGGCATGCTTGGCGTGCTTAGCGTCCACGAGGTCCTGGGTTCAATCCCCAGTACCTCCATTAAACAAACAAACAAAAATCAAATGGAAGTTCTAGAACTTAAAAATACATCTGAAATCATGAATTCAATAGATGAATTTAACAGATTAGACATTGATAAGAAAGAATTAGTAAACTTGAAGATAGGGCTGAAGGAAATATCTAATGGAAGCACAGAGAGACAAAAGGACAAAAAAACAAACAAATAAACAAAACCAACCCACATAGGAAAGAATGTGAGACATGTAGAACACAATGAAAAAAGTGTAACTGGAATCCTAGAAGGAGAGGAGAAAATGGAGTTAGAGATAATTGCCAAGAATTTTCCAAACTGATGAGAGATAATAAGCCGTTGATTCAAGGATTACAAAACCCACATAGCATGAATAAAAGAAAACTATACCTGTTTACATCATAGTTAGATTGCTGAATACCAGAGATAGAATCTTAAAAGTGGCAGAGAGAAGTCTCTTCAAGATAAAAGCAAAAGACCGAGCACTGATTCTTAACAAAAACAGTGGAATTCAGAAGATACTGTTGTGAGATCATCAAAGAGTTAAAAGGAAGTGAATTAGAATTCTGTAAGCAGTGGAAAACTCTCCAAAAGCAAAAACAAGCACATCCAAATATTTCACTTTTGCCTCAAGATGTGCCATTTATATTTATAGCCGTGATCCATGTATTTGGTAACCAGTCAGCTTTTCCTTACTGCCTCTTCTGTGAGCCTCTAAAATTCAGCAGTCAACTTATAATTTCTAGTAGTTATAACAGGTCAGATCCCAAGATGTCATATCTCCTTTCTTTGATGTTGAGAATAAGGGCAACTTCTCCTTCATTTCAGTATCTGTGAAACAGGATAATATCTATTCTTCGTATGTCTCATGGCTGCTCTGAGAATCAGTTCTCTTAGCATGTATTCACCAAGTTTTTTAAACTGAAAAATACTGTCAGAATGTAATGATGAACATATTGGTTTTTTATTTATGGATTTTAATAGTGAAGTCAAAATGGACATTTTCAAACAAAAACTGAACATTCATCTCAACAGACTCACACTAAACAAAATACTAAAAGTAGTTTTTCAGGCAGAAGGGAAATGATTTCAGATAAACACTCAGAGATGCAGGAAGGAAGGAAAAGCAAAGAGTAGTATAAATATATTGTAAAATGAAATAAATACTGTCTGTATAAAACAGTAATGCTTTGTGGAATTTAAAATATGTGTCAGCTTAATATACAACAATAGTAGCATGTAAGACAGGAGTTAGAGTGTTCTAAGGTCCTTGCATTATCCTGGAAGTGGTAAAAGTTAAACTTTAATAAGTCAAGTTAGCAGAGTCTACAAAGGAATGTATTATATACCAACAGAGGGGGAAATGAATAATAAAATTTTCAGAACTTAATCCAAAAGAAGGCAAGAAAGAAGAGAAGGACACAGAACAGGTGTGAAAATAGAAAACAAACATATCATGGCAGATCTAAACCGAAGTTTGTAGTAATTACATTAAATGTAAATGATTCAAATACTCCAAGTAAAAAACAAAACTTGCAAACTGGATTAGAAATATGTTGCTTATGTTCAAGAAGGAATACATACACATGCACCTACATATGAAATACACACAGATAGACAGACTGGCCCAGGAAAGTTGAAAGTAAAATAGTGTAAATACTAACCAAAAGAAAGTTGGCAAAGCTACACCAATATTGGACAAAGTCAATGAGTATGAAAAGATGTTAAACCTAATTTGTCAATCTCCAGAACGGTTAAAAATAAAGAGACTAACAAACCAAGCATTGCTGAAGATGTGAAGTACCTGAAATGCCCATACACTGCTGTTTGTTGTGTTGAGCTTGGAAAATTGATCAGTTTCTACTAATGCTGAACACATGCATACCCTGTAACCCACAACTCCATTTAAAAAAACTGGAAAAAAATTTTTGAGGTATAATTGACATACATTACATTGCATGTTGTACACGTAGATGTACAACATAATGATTTGATATTTGTATATTATGTGAAATGATCACCACGATAAATCTAGTTAACATCAAACACCACACATAAATACAAATTCTTTTTCTTGTGATAAGAACTTTTAAGATTTACTCTCTTGGAAATTTTCAAATAAGCAATACAGTGTTATTAACTGTAGCCACTATGCTGTACATTACATCCTCATTATTTTATAACAGCAATTTTGTACCTTTGACTTTTTTGCTACCCCTCCCCACCACTGCCTCTGGCAACCACAAATCTGTTCTCTGTAATTATGAGTTTTTTTTTTAAGGATCTACATATCAGTGAGATCATATGGTATTTGTCTTTCTCTGATTTATTTTACTTAGCATCATGCCCTCAAGGTCTGTCCATGTTGTTGCAAATGGCAAGATTTCATTCTTTTTTGTGGCTTAATAATATTCTGTTATATGTATGTCATTGATATATATATATATATATATATATATATATATATATATATATATATATATATATACACACACACACATACACACACCAAATTTTCTTTATCCATTCATTTGTCCATGGACACTTAGGTTGTTTGCATATTGGATAAATACCCAGAAGTGAAATTGCTGGTTAGTTTTATTTTTGATTTTTGGAGGAACCTCCGTACTGTTTCCCATAGTGGCTGCACCAATTTACATTCCCATCAAAAGTACCCAAGGGTTTCCTTTTCTCCACATCCTTGCCAACACTTGTTATTTCTTGTCTTTTTGATAATGACCATTCTGACAGGGCTGAGATGATATCTTGTCCACACCTCCATTTTTGATTGGAATATGAATAGATGTGCACCAAGAGATTGCACAAGAATGTTAGCCATAAGCCCCAAACTAGAAATAGCACAGACTTAATTAACATTAGAATGGATGCATACTTATTATATAACCATATAACAAAATGCTACATAACAATGAAAATGTATTATCAGCCTTGTACGAAACCACCACCGATGTTCCTTAGGGTTCTAGCCTAGGCCTTCTGCTTCTCCTTCATTCCCATGGCTTCAGTGTTCATTTATGTTCTCAGGACTTACAGATATATTGCCCTAGCCCATTCTGTTCCAGACTAGAACCCAACTGTCTACTGGACATCTCTGTTCAGATGTCTTAGAGACATCTCTAAGTCAGCGTGTACTGAGCTCATCTCCACATCCTCTGAATCCACTTCTCCTCTAGGAAGGCACATGTCTCAGCAGTGGTACCAGCATTCACTCTGGGAATCTTGTTCACCAGCTTCTCTATACTACTCCATTCCCCAAAATATAAACTCTGAGAGTGAATTTAACGATGCTTAGAACAAAACTTGGCATGTAGTAGGGTCTCAATTTATATTTTGTTGAGTACTTCTATCCTCCTTTTTCCATAATTCAGTTTGGTTTACAAGCTCTGTAAGTTTTTATCTACTAAGAACATCTAAAACTCTTTTTATGCCTGCTGCCCCCTACCTAGCTAAGACTACCATCTGTCATCTGGATTACTTCGAAGGGACCAAGGGATGAGTGGGTGGGAGCAGTTTGGAAGAGGCATTGGGTTAGGGCATTTATGTTGCTGGTGAAATACATAATTTGCAGCATGTGTACTTTTGCCTTATTCTGTTAACGGATCCAACTTTATTCCAACTCGTAACTAACAAGGAGTGCCACCTGATGATACTTAATTTTCTGTTATGGCCAAGTACTGTAATCATCAGTGTGAACTCGTCTGTTCTGGGAGTGGGAGGGGAAGGTGAATTGAGAAGACAAAGGATTAGACGTGAAGGAAGATCTGCCTTTTATTCCATATTCCTTTCTTATGATGTTCCCACCTGCCCTTCGCTAAGTCACTAACCTTGACTTTCCAGATATACAGGGGTGTCTCTGTCCTGCTTCTCTCTGAATCATAGCAGGTACAGCATCTTAATCTATTTTGCTAAAGAGGCCTCCAATTCAGTGTTGTAAGTTGAACCCTCTAACCTGACCTCTGCTTTTCATGTTATTATAAAATAGTGCTGTTTTTGGCTTATTGTGTATTAGAAGACAGAGCAAAAACTTCAGGCTTCCCTGCTTGGATTGTTTGGATTGGAGTTTCTCAACACATTTCATGGATATAAATCCAAATATTTTTATGGGAGCAGGACTTAAAATTGAGGGCAAGAATCTCTATCTTGGCAAGATTTTCTTCTCTAGATTTGAAATAATAGGTTTGCCTTTTCTCACCCATTTTTACAATTTAAACATCAGCTGTGTTGTGCCATGATATGTTTGTATGTGGGGCATTTAGTTATTAGCAAATTTTTACAGATACCATTATCTGAAATTTTTATGCTTGTTTTTATATTTATCTATAATTTTATCCATAAATTTCTTTTCTCTTATCTCTCTCCCCCATGTAAATAAACTTCAGGAGAGCAGAAACCTTGTCTATTTTGTTCTCCAGTGCTTAGTGTCGAATAAGCATTTGACAACACTTATTGACTGAAAGAGTAATGTTTCTACTTTGGGCTTGGGTGGTTTTCCTTCTTAAAGTACCTCCCTCTTTCTTTCAGCATTGGAGAGGGGTCTCTTGAAGACACTGCAGAAACTGGATGAATATCTGAATTCTCCCCTCCCTGATGAAATTGATGAGAATAGTATGGAGGACGTTAAGTTTTCCACACGTAAATTTCTGGATGGCAATGAAATGACACTAGCTGATTGCAACCTGCTGCCCAAACTGCACATTGTCAAGGTAGGCCTGCAGGATGTGGGGTCACGTTGCTCTGATACCTAGTACCTCTTTGCTAAGACAGCCCTTCCTCTGTGCGCAGAACTTTGCTGATCTTTTGACATATGACATACACTATTTAGAATCCCCCAAATAGTGTAACTTAATGCTGTCAGGACAATAGATGAAACACCCTAGGGTTAATTAAGTAGAAAATTATGGCTTAAAATTGAGGCATATGAAAAATAGGAATTTGTTTTCTGTGACTGCATAAAAATTTAAAGATGTAACTTTGAATTGGTTGCTACACTGACAATATATGATTAAACTTTGTTCTATGATCACCTACCTGGCTTTTTCTATTCAAGGCAGACAGTATTTATTGAGCATTTATTGTATGAGACACTTTGCTGAATAGGATAGTTGTGCAACAAAGATCAAGTTCAAGGAAAACAGGGATCTAAACTAGTGTGTATGTTTTAAAGTATTTATCCCGTGATTACACTCGGCTGTTTCTCTGGATGGCCAAGGCAGGCATTTGCAGTCACTGCTTCTGAATCTCTGGTGTCGTTTGCAGTTGTTATTATTTAAAACTCTAGTTGGTATGAAGGTGACAGACTTCTTTTCAAGTAGAAGCAGTTCTCAGAGATTCACAGAATTAATTTGCCCTAAAATCAGAGATATGTCTGGTTTACAAGACATGGGATATAAATGTTAACTTTTGATCTCTTTGTATTTCAGGTGGTGGCCAAAAAATATCGCAACTTTGATATTCCAAAAGGAATGACGGGCATCTGGAGATACTTAACTAATGCTTATAGTAGGGATGAGTTCACCAATACCTGCCCCAGTGATAAGGAGGTTGAAATAGCATATAGTGATGTCGCCAAAAGACTTACCAAATAAAACAGTACTTCCGAGAGAGATGTCTTGACATCTTCCCCTGACTAAGACCATGCTTTCCCTAACAGACTGCTCCTCTTCCTATACAGTAGAAATTTTACTTTGCATGAACATGCAGTTATTCCAGACTAGGACAAAGGATAGACCAGGTATAGTAGCTATCTTTACATATATACTCCTAAGCAGTATTATTTTAAAAATCTTTTACCCCGCCTACCTCCCCTACCCGGTATCCTCCTCTCCTCTATTTGGAGTCACTCCATCACAAGCTCTTCACTTTAAAGGTAGTTTGCCATCTCTCTAGAGCTCTCACCACTGTGTCCATTCACTGTGTGTAGATGGCAGAACTTTTGAGGTGCGTTGTTTAACTGTTAAAACAGTAACCATGACCTCATCAGTCAGGCCCAAACTGGTGCATAATGCACGGTACAAGGAATATTTATGTATTTTTTGGAATTTTATAATATTTAGTAAGAGTATATGAAGGGGTTGCTACTGTATCAAAATACTGCTTCAATTCGGTCTATCCTGGATGTGTACTAAAGGACGCTACCACCAGAGGAGAGAGCCTTCCACAGAAAGTAACTACAGATTTTGCTATTTTACTTTGTACATGGATTTTTTACTTTTGCCTAAAAACATTTATATTTCATACCAATTAGAACACCTGACACTATGTAGAAGCTAAAAGTTTAGAGAGAGGAATATTTTCAAGATCTTCCTCAAGCATTTTAGCCATATAAGAGAAACCAATGGGCACCTGACACTCTGTCTAAGTATATTGTTGGTTATATGTATTTTGCCCAGTGCCATTCATTTGGAACATTATTGCTTTCTTCCTTTATTTTAAAAAAACTCCTTTTTTAGGTAAGCATAGGTCGTGCTGTTTGTAGATCTTTTGAGCAACACTACATAAACTGATAATTAGTTGATTTAGCTATAGCAGTACAGTGATTAGTAATGTAAAAATTAACCTAAGGAATGTAGCGTGGGTTTGTGAAAATATCAAGTAGAATGTTGTTTCTAAAGTGTATTTAATGTGGATAATCCAAAGAATGAATTATCCATCCTACATTAAAAATGAGAAAAAAGACATAGATTACCATTCCACTTCCACTGACTGTTAGACTTTGGGTAGAGGATGGTTCACTTCTTTTGGACTAAATTATAGTTGTTAAGGTGACTACATATTTACTGCAGTTTTGCCTAATCTCAATCACTGCACTTCCTTCAGTTAAATTTTTCTGCAGCTACATTGAGGAATAGCACTCTTCATGTTTGTTTTGTTTCTTAAATTGAAGTCCTAAAGCAGGAATTATTTGTGTTGTCACAAGGGAGGATGAACTTGGTAAAAATAAAACAAAGTTTGCTATGTATTTATTCATTAAAAAAAAAACAAACCCCAGCAACTTTTTAAGTACTACTCCAAAGACTGGTTGTGACTATAATAATGTTTTTGTAATTTTTTATACCTAACTTGTTTAAGAAATGCTATTTCTCATAGGCTGTTTTTGGAAATTTTAAGTATATTTCTTTAAAATGGCAATATTTTCTTCCTCTTGATGTGCTAACATTTACTAAGCACTGACTTTATGGAAGCAGTCTGATTTTTAAAAGCATTCTGCATTTTGAAGCCCATCACTAATTAGCTTGGTATAGAAAGATAGGGAAAGCTCCATATTGTATCCATTTGGCTCAGGGAGATTTCTTTGTCTTACTTTTCTTAGAACTCCTTCCTGCTGATCAAAAAGTTTGAGTGCCCACCTTTTTGTAATTAAATATTGGATGATTTTATCTGGTTCAAAGAACAAGCACTGTTGGGTTATCTATTGAAAAATTCTATGACAGCAGCTTCTGTGGGTGAAAATGTCACACCTGCGCCAGTACACAGCCAGCCATCTTCACTTTCCACTGACTTGTAAATTAGTGGTGACTTGGCATTCAGGTGATATTGAATCTTGCCTCATAGCTTAAAGTATGAAAAAGATTCAAGAGAAGGGAGGTGGGTATCTGTCCTTACAAGTGAATGGCAGACTTAAGTGGTGCAGAGGAGAAGGCTAATGGGGAAAAAGCTGCATTCCTCAAAAGAGAGAGACGAAAGATACATTCTGAAACTCAACTCTGAAGTCTTTTTACTCTGGATATTGATTTTTCTTTTCTTAAAATTTATCTTGTGATTACACTTGGCTGCCTCTCTGGATGTCTGAGGAAGGCTGTCTTTCTGTTATAATTTTGATGAAGGCAGGATTATTTTTCTCTGTAGAAAGGCAGATCTTATTACTTTATCAGGGAAGTTTAGTCAAATGGGATGAGATTGGCAAATGGACAAAAGCTAGTAAAAAGATGATCCTAGAATGTGCTTTCTAACCTATCTTGCATTCGTGGACAGAGGATAGCTTAAAACCTTGGGAGATTTGCGACATGAACGTTTTCATAGCAGTTCATGTAATGTATGGGTTAACATAATAGAAGTCACCTGATATTATTTCTGCAACTACTAAGTTATTTCCCCATTCATTTAAACCCCTTTTGTTCCACTTAAACAAGGAGATTAGAGTCTGACTGGAAGATCTTACTAATTTCCAAGGGATTCTGATAATTTTTTGTGTTCAGCAGTTGGAAAGTGCTCTACTATTTCGGTTGATATAACTTCCATTTTTTAAAGTGTAGATGCAGATTTTCTATACAATTCTATTATTTTCTTTACCAGGATTGTTGACTTCTGTGATAAAATTCATGTAACACTTTATTTCTTGGTATCTTTGGCTTATACAGCTTATCCTTGAGCAATCTGTATACAATGAAGAGGTTTCTGACATTTATTCTTACACTAAGTTGTTTGACTCTAGAATTTAGGAATATTTACTTCTGTTGAGTTTTGACTCTCTCCAGAGTTGCATGTAGATAGCTTTTATTGCTGTGCATTAAAAATATCCATTTAGAAAGTATCTACAAGGTAAAAATGAGAAGAAATAGAAATGTATTTTTTCAGGAACATTTTGATACACATTTTGTCAAGTTTATTGATTAACCAATTTCTTACACTGGTTATAATCAGCATTTGATTTAAAGAGAGGGACTCATTCATTATTGATATACTGTATGTTCTTTATTATTCCATCCTTTATAAATTACCAAGGTTGGGGTTGTCAAAATTATATTTTTGTCATGGAAAAACACTTCAACCCCCCCAAATCATAATGTTGAACAGAATTGGAGTATTTTCTTTAGAATTACTTGAAAAGACAAATGAAAGCTTATTACAGAAAGCTTGTATTTTCTTTTCTCTCTCTGGAACCAGTATACTGCTGGCAGCTATTGTATTAAAAAAATAAAGTATATTTTCACTATCATAAAAGGTTATTTCTTCCCCTCATGAAAATAAATAACAACTTGTGTTAAAAGTGTTTTTATTTGAGACTACTGTCTTTTCATGAGTGGGCAGTTCAGCACATTTAATAGATTAAAGGAGAAAACCCTGTGATCATCTCAATAGGTACGTAAAATAACTTGATAAAAACTTCCACGATACCCATTCTTAGCAAAATAGGACCAGAGATTAATTTTTTTTAACCCAATAAAGACACCTGCCAAGAACTTACAGGAAATCTCATATGAGTCCTCTTGTTGAAGTCAGGAATAAGACAGGGTCACCTTCATTCACAGCTATTATTCAGCTACTTTCCACAGCTGCTTTATTAGAGGCATCTTAAGTCAATGCAGTGAAATCAGCAAGAGGAATAAGGAATCGGAAAGAATCGACCAAATTACTTCTCTTCTGCAGATGATGCATTTATATAAAAGAAATCTAAAATACCCTTCTATTAGAAAGTAAAATTCAGATGCTTACCAGATACACGATTGAGGAACAAAAATCAGTGTAATTACTGTATACTAATATTAATCACATTAAAAATGAATAAATTAGTAACATTGGTTTCTTCTGGAAGAAAACTGGGTGACTGAGAAAAATGGATGGGAAGTTGTCAATGTATACTTCTTTGAGCATTTAGAAATTTGCACCATAAGTATATTACCTATTCTAAAAAATAAAAAGTACTTTAAAAGATAGACTGTAAAATATTTAGGATCAAATCTAATGAAGAATGTGCAATTCTTTTATGGAGAAAAGTACAAAATACTATCAATGGGCCTAACAGAAATCTGCTCAGTAGACAGGTGTACTGTGCTCATGGATGGAGAGCTGAAAAGCGTAAGAATTGCACTTCTGTCTTAAGTAGTTTATAAATACAGTACATTTTCCCCAGTAAAATCCCGAGAGGGTTTTTTGGGGAACCAGATAAATGGATTTAAAACATTCATATGGAAGAATTATGCCTCCCAAACAGCCAACTTATATCTGGAGTGGGGCGGGAAAAGAAGGTAACTTGCCTGACAAGATGTAACGACTTAAGCTTATAGGGACTGCTGGGGAGGATACAGTAGGTCACAGCGACACCACACTCCTGCTGCCAGTACTGAGAAGAACTAGTTTAAAACACCAGAATAATCTTAAATATCGGAAAACTGGGAGTAATAAGGGCTAAATGAATTGGAATTTCAGAAGAGGAAGCCTTTCTGAGGTGAAGTGATGGTCTGGCCATTTTCTCCTCTAGGGGCATTTGCTGATTCTGGGCCTGGAACTGAGGATTGGGTTTGGTCCATGCCAAGTAAAATATACTTTTTTTTTTTTTAACTGGGTAAAACAAATCACAAGGCTCTTGGTGACAGGGCACACTGGAAACCTGAGGCACCTTAAAATACGTGACTGGTTTTCTCACAAGACATTTGCTGAGTTTCAGAGCTCTGCATGCCCTGCTAGAAGCTAAACCCACAGCTTCCAAAAGGCAGAGTGAAATCTCTCACAGTCACACAGTACTTAGGAGACAAAATTTCATTAGAGGCAGGGCTTACCTGAAACACAGAAAGCAGCTTCAGCTTAGTGGTTGCCTGTCACTGGTGGTGGGGGTGGGGATTAACCACAAACAGGCATGAGGGGTCTGTTTTAAAGATGGATTGTAGATAAGGGTCTAGTATCCAGAACATTATAATTCATACAACTCAAATTATAAAGTAAAAAATGAGCAAGAATTTAAATAGACACTTCTCCAAAGAAGATATACAAGTGGCCAATAAACACAGAGAAGCTTAACACTACTAGTCATTAGGGAAGTGTTAAAAAAACACAAAAAAATACCCTCTGTGATAGCTATAATCAGGGCAATTCTGTGTTTGCCATGATGTGGAGAAATTAGGCGAATCTCTCATACACTGCTGGTGGGTATGTAAAATAGTGCAGCCACTTTGGAAAACAGTTTGGCAGCTCCTCAGGAAGTTAAGCATAGTGCTACCACATGATCCAGCAGTTCTATTCCTAGGCTTATAACCAGGCGAATTGAAAACTACGTCATAGATGCTCATGGCATCATCCTTCACAGAAGCCAACAATGGAAACAACTCATATCCATCAACCAGTGACTGGATAAACAAAGAGTAAAAATACTACTTGGCTATAAAAAAAAGTACTGATACAAGCTACAACACGAACCTTGAAAACATTACACTCAGTGAAAGAAGCCAGACAAAAGGCCACATATTAAAAGATTCCATTTGTATGAAATGGCTAGTGTAGACAAATCTATAGAGACAGACAGTAGATTAGTATTTGCCAAGAGCTGGGGGTAGAGAATGAGGAGTGACTGCTAGTGAGTACAGGCTACTTTTTGGAGTGATGAAAATGTTCTGGAATTAGATATTAGTGATGATCATACAACTTTGTGAATATACTATAAACCATGAATTGTATACTTTTAAAAGGGTAGACTTTATGGTATATGAATTATATCTCAATCTTTAAAAATTGCAAGGGAGCAATTCTGCCTGGCTAAAAGTTTTGGATAATCAGTGTATTGATAGGTTGATTGGCAACATTAGTGATGTCTATTTCCTTTGTGTTTGAATTAAAGTTCACTTTAAATATCATCCAAAATATATTCGTAAAGGGGAAAGGGGTAAAAAAAGAATGTGCTTATGGCTGCTAGACTTTATAAATTTACTAAAAATCATTTAGTTTTGTTTACCTAAAATGGGTGAATTCTACAGTTTGTAAATTATACCTCAATAAAGCTGTTTGAAAAACAAGATAAGAGCACAAATCTGAAATTAAGAGTTCATTGTGTGGGTTTAATAGCCGAGCCCACACAGCAGAAGACAGAAGATAGGTCAATAGAAAAAAATCCAAATGAAAGCAAAGAGAGTAAAAGAATGCACCAACAAAACAAGAAAAGAGCATAAGAAACATGTGGGACACGTCAGTCTAAAAATACATGTAATTGAGGTCCCAGACATAAAAGGGAATGAGGTGGAAGCAATATTTGATGAAATAAATGGCTGAGAATTTTCGAAAACTGCTGATGGACATCAACCCACAGATTCACAAAACTCAGCAAACTTATGGAATAAAACCCAAACCAAACCAAAATAAAGAGAAAAAACATAACACCTAAGAACATCATGGTCAAATGGCTGAAAACCAAAGACAGAAAATCCTAAAGACAGCCAGAGAGAAATATCACATAACCTTTGAAGGAACAATGACTGACATTCCAGCAGAAACTTTGGAAGCCAGAATCTTTAAAGTGCTGAAAAAGTTAACGAAGCTAAAAGGAGTAGACAAATACACCATCGTAACGAGATTTTTAACATACCTCTCTCACTAACTGACAGAACAAGAAGAAAAAGACTGCACATGCGCACACACACACACAGCGTAAGAAATAACTCAATTAACTAATCAGACTTAATTGACATTGGAACTCTATATCCAACAACTGGAGAATGCACATTGCTTTCAAGCGTACACGGAGCTTTTAGCAAATAGTCCATATGCTGGCCCATGAGGCAAGCCTCAACAAATTTAAAAGGAATCAAATCATACAAAGTATGCTCTCTGACTGCAGTGGCATTGAACTAGAAATCAACGGTTGAGAGACAGTAAGAGAATTCCAGAATAAGGAACCAGTTACAGCAAGTGCAACAAGCCTACACCCTATGCTAAATGTAAACATTTTAATTTAACAAATACATGCAGTAGACCAGGAACTATTCTAAGCACTTTACAGATATTAATTCAGTCTTCCTAACAATCCTGTGAGATCGAGACCATGATTCTCATTTATGGATGAGGAAATTGAGGCACAGGAAGGTTAAGAAACTTGCTCAAGGTCACACAGCTAGTAAGTAACAGA